CTTTTCTCTGTTTCATTTCATCATCCTATACTTAGTCTGTCTCCTCTTCATCTCTTAGCTCCACTCTGTTGCTGCTGCAGCAAAATGAAAGAGCTTTTTCCTCCTCCAGCAGAGCTAAACTCTTTTAAGTAAAAAAAAAAACTCCAATATCCATGGTAGGGTCATGCTAGCACTCTGGGTTAATACTCAGCCCTGTGCAGTCTTTCTGTTGCAGAGTTCAAACACACTGCGAATGCATCATATACAGCATATTGTTCCAAGCAGTGTGAAGCAGAGGCTGCATGACACACAAACCAAAACATAACCGACTTGCATTTTTTGAACAAATATATCATATTTGATTATAATATTTGATGCTTGACTGGAATGCAGTGTATCTGTTGGTTTTGATGCTGTCCTGAGATCCAGGCCCTTTCAAAAATCCCTTGCCTTTGCTTCATCATGTGATTTTGTTCAGATGAAAGTGGCAGTTGCTTGAATGGTTCACGCTGTAGTCTGAGCATGAAAACGATGCAGCTCGTACACTGAAGCCTTCAACTGAAAAGGTAAACCAACTGTTCCTGCACCACATTGTGGCCCAACTTGTCATCTTTTTCTTCTATCTTGTGGTCATGTCCGGTGTCGTTCTGTTGACTTTAATTGAAATGCAAGTCCCTTTTTCAGAACTCGCGTCTTCAGCATCACACTTTGTATAATTAGCTATCTCTCTAAAGTAAACAAGTAACTCAGTCAGCGGCAGTAATGCTGTTGTCCCTGCATGCTGGTGCCCATGAATCAATATTTGCCCGCTACACCTCTGAATGAAACGCCTGACAGCTCGTTATCTGTACGGGATTACGGTGTCCTTATTATTACAGTTTATCACACTTACTTACTCCGAGCCCTGTTTGTCTCGATAACAACAGGGAAAGAATGTCAACGCTTTATGAAACGGTCACTTTTAATTAAAAAAAAGGGGAGGGCGGTTCGGGCTGCTGATTTTATTGACAGAATAAATGCATTATGATTCCACTCAGCGGAAAAGCCATGCCCAAGTTTCTGTATCAAAAATGCTGACAGCGTTTTGCCTCGTCAGCGTGTATTTTCCCGACACAACATTTTCCTCCTGGCATGGTTGCCTTTAATAACCACACTAATGTATGAGCCATTCCTACTTAGCATACAAGGCACAATGATGTTTTTAACCACATATCAGTTTGGAGGGATTTTGAATTTATAAACACCATTAATTCAGAAAAAAAACTTTGCAGACTCATACAGCACATTTAATTGGCTTAATAAGCTGGTATGTATACAGGTGCTGGTCATAAAATTAGAATATCATGAAAAAGTAGATTTATTTCAGTAATTCCATTTAAAAAGTGAAACTTGTATATTATATTCATACATTACATACAAACTCATATATTTCAAATGTTTATTTCGTTTAATTTTGATGATTACAAATGACAACAAATGAAAATCTCAAATTCAGCATATCAGAAAATTAGAATCTTGTGAAAAGGTTCAAAATGGATGGCACCTGGTACCACACTCTAATCAGCTAATTAACTCAAACCACCTGCACAGGCCTTTAAATGGTCTTTCAGTCTAGTTCTATAGGCTACACAATCATGGGGAAGACTGCTGACTTGACAGTTGTCCAAAAGACGACCATCGACACCTTGCACAAGGAGGGCAAGACACAAAAGGTCATCGCTAAAGAGGCTGGCTGTTCATAGAGCTCTGTGTCCAAGCACATTAATAGAGAGGCGAAGGGAAGGAAAAGATGTGGTCGAAAAAAATGTACAAGCAAGAGAGATAACCGCACCCTGGAGAGGATTGTGAAACAAAACCCATTCAAAAATGTGGGGGAGATTCACAAAGAGTGGACTGCAGCTGGAGTGAGTGCTTCAAGAACCACCACACACAGACATATGAAAGACATGGGTTTCTGCTGTCGCATTCCTTGTGTCAAGCCACTCTTGAACCACAGACAGCGTCAGAAGCGTCTTGCCTGGGCTACAGAGAAACAGGACTGGACTGCTGGTGAGTGGTCCAAAGTCATGTTCTCTGATGAAAGTAAATTTTGCATTTCCTTTGGAAATCAAGGTCCCAGAGTCTGGAGGAAAAGAAGAGAGGCACTTCATCCACGTTGCTTGAAGTCCAGTGTAAAGTTTCCACAGTCAGTGATGGTTTGGGGTGCCATGTCATCTGCTGGTGTTGGTCCATTGTGTTTTCTGAGGTCCAGGGTCAACGCAGCCACATACCAGGAAGTTTTAGAGCACTTCATGCTTCCTGCTGCTGACCAACTTTTTGGAGATGCAGATTTCATTTTCCAACAGGACTTGGCACCTGCACACAGTGCCAAAAGCTACCAGTACCTGGTTGAAGGACCATGGTATCACTGTTCTTAATTGGCCAGCAAACTCTCCTGACCTTAACCCCATAGAAAATCTATGGGGTATTGTGAAGAAGAAGATGCAATACACCAGACCCAACAATTCAGAAGAGCTAAAAGCCACTATTAGAGCAACCTGGGCTATCATAACACCTGAGCAGTGCCACAGACTGATCGACTCCATGCCACGCCGCATTGCTGCAGTAATACAGGCCAAAGGAGCCCCAACTAAATACTGAGTGCTGTACATGCTCATACTTTTCATGTTCATACTTTTCAGTTGGCCAACATTTCTATAAATCCTTTGTTTTTATTGGTCTTCAGTAACATTCTAATTTTCTGATATGCTGAATTTGAGATTTTCATTTGTTGTCATTTGTAATCATCAAAATCAAACGAAATAAACATTTGAAATATATGAGTTTGTATGTAATGTATGAATATAATATACAAGTTTCACTTTTTAAATGGAATTACTGAAATAAATCTACTTTTTCATGATATTCTAATTTTATGACCAGCACCTGTATATATATCTCAGGCTTTTATATCTCAGTTAAAACACACCTTGAAAGTGTTTGTTTTAATGTGTGTTTTATTGGCGTTTCACTTAAAGTTGATCAGACAGTTCATCAACTTTAATAAAAGATAAAATTGTGGCAGTTGGTGTTTTGCCTCCCTCTCCTGATTGGTTCCCGAGCACTAATCGCCTGCAGCTGCAGCAACTCTCCCGATGAGCTCCTGGACCTTCATAAGGTCTCCTCCATGACTTGGTCTTTGCTGAAGCATCATACCCTCGTGGCAGTATTCTTGCACCCGCTCAGAGCGACACGTACATGAGTTTTTCTAACTCTTGCCCATGCCTGCGTTCAAGGTTTTGTTCCGGTTTCTGTCAAGTCACCCACTGCTCATCCTGTGGAGAGAAACTCACCTGCTGCCTTACCTGTGCTCGTTCCTCCTGCTCACCTGGATCCTTTCTGCCTGCCACTCACTCTGGAAACTCCTTGTGCTTACCCGTCGGGCCGCCCTGTTCCTCTGTGCTGCTCCTCCTCTGGAAACCTGTAAAACAAAGAACAACTTTAAAAAATCACTGTGAACCTTCTAGCTCATCTATCTATTCCCAGCTTTTCAGATCCTGGCTCTGGTTCTCCCCCCTCCACCTGTAAATAAACCTCACCTACCTTTTGTAACTCTGCCTCTGTGTTTGATCATCCCAGCGCTGCTCACTTTTGACATTTCTCAGTTCATGATAAGTCTTCTTGCTCGTGCTTTGTGATTTTTATTTATTACAACATTAATTGCAGGTAATAAGTTTCCTGCTTTGCCTAAAATCTGTTTTCAGCAGAGTTTACATGTTAATGCACTCAGTATGATTTACTGTTTTACTGAATTTGATCAAAACTATGGCTGCCTTCACAATGAAATGAAATAAAATGATCAGACTTAAAGAGTAGTAACAGAAATAACATGTAAACATCTATCAAATTCTTAAAAAAAATTCTACACTGTCACATCTTCACACATCAAACTATTAAAAGAAAAAGAGCATTCCAAAGCATTATAAAACATTTTTTGTATAAAATAAAATTAAATATTCAGCACTGCAATATTACATTGTAATATTTATATAGTGAGTTGTACTATATAACTTATACAAACTTTGTTCCCCCAGCAGATATTTGGCACATTAAACCTAAAACTTTGGCTTGGTATTGGCTTGTTAAGCTGAGCTCAGAGGTGATAAAGGGTTTAGGACCATTTTCCCCTTTGCAATTTAAATATTTGTTCCACATTTTAACCTGTCTTGATTAATCTGAGTCATGTTCAGTAAAACTGAGCCTGCATTGTTTATTCTGCAACAAGTAGGAAAATCCCTGACCCACATTAGTAAACTGTGCAAAGATAGAAAAGCAGCCATTACGACACCTACTGGTGGCTGGTGGTCATTACGTGTTGTTCCAGTTCATTCATAATATCACGATCATCTGATTCATGGTTTAGTCAAACGATTTTATGACTTTTATGGACTTGATGCTCTCTCACATAAAATAAACAAAAGAAAACTAATTATTAAACAAATAAGTGTGTATTTTCAATTAAATAAAAGAACTTAAGAAAATGTCTCGTGCTTGACATCTCCAAATTAAAACATTATGATGTGATGACGTCAAGAAAACATCAAATCTCCTGTTTTCATTGTAATATCTTTAACAAATTATTTACAACATTTTAAATCATAGGTTACACCCTTCACTTTGTTTTTTTAGGGTGTTGTCATCTACTAATTTTATTAGTTTATTTTTTTTAATTATTAATACGGATAGGTGGACTGTCAGGACTGTGTACATTTGTTGGTTTACACCAAAGACTGGAAAGAAAAATATATGGTCTACACACTACCTTGGCTTTGTTTGCGTAGTGAAAATCACAAACATTTTACAAATATTTACAGTCGTCCATGGTGGAAAAACGTGTGCCTGCCTAAAATATTCTGGGGTCCAAGTGTGGGTCCTTCGGGCACCTCGGACAACTATCTGACTCTTCTGTGATTGCTCGCCTCAATTCTTCAAGCAAAACAGCGTTCCGCTGAGCCTCGTCGTAAAATAATAGAGGACTTTGCAATTTTTTTTTTCTTTTCTCTCACCGCAACAATGTCCGAGGAACGATCTGAAAGATCTGATGGCAGAATTGTTAAAATGGAGATGGACTACAGCTCGACTGTGGACCAGCGTCTCCCGGAATGTGAAAAACTGGCTAAAGTAAGTGAGGTTTAGGAGGCCAGCAGCGCTAGCTGAGTCATGGTACAAATCGGGCTCGGTGCGTTAGCATTTAACTTTACAAGCTTTAGCAGCACCAAGAATGCTGCGACTAAATCTACTCTGAGGATGATTGTTTGCACCTGTTAACATAGTTAATAACATGACATATATAATTACTTTTTATTTACATGTATACTAACTCGTGTTTGTTGAACGGGATCATGCTAGCTTCTTTAGCATTTAGGCTTTAGCTTTAAATTTAGCCCATTCAGCAGTGGCTTTTAGAGATAGAAATGTTTCGTGGTATGAATAGCAATAGAAGCATTTTAACTTTTGTTTCTGCCTCAGGAAGGGAAACTACAGGAGGCCGTCGAAAGCTTGTTGTCACTGGAGAAGCAAACAAGAACAGTAAGTCAAAACCAATAGTTGAAGTTTTCTTGGCAGCAAGCTTTGCTTTATTTACCACAAAACAAGTTTAGTTGTGAGGCTTTTTATCAGCATACCTATAAAACACGTTTCCCACAAAAAAGATTTTAAAAAAATCAAGATGACTTAATTTCTGTCTCTAAAATACAGCATGAGAGTTGACATTGATTTGTAATGTCCTGATGCATCTCAGTAATGCAGGTAAAAAATCAAAAAGAAAAAAATTGTATAGGTCTTCTGGACGGGTTCTTCTCTAATGAAACGTTTCGTCTCTCCTCCAAGAGACTTCTTCAGTC